GGGGGGGGGGGGGGGCAGTCAGAAGACGACCGTTTGATCTCAGCTCGATATACCCAGCCAGATCACCCCCACCGCCCCCGTTGTACACCTGGGGAGGAAGACTTTAGTAGGGAGGCTGAGGTGGGCGAATTTACCTGTTGATACCTGGTCGCTCCCACAAGCGCCGCCGTTGCTAGGGCAGCCATGTTCCAAGCCGAGAAATAAAGCGGAACAGCACAGCGCCGGAGGGAGGTCCTTTCATCTCTATGGTTGACGTCAAGCCGCTACGACGCAGAGCGGGGCATGTGGGCAGAAGGTTCGGGTGTGGCCAGTTTTATAATCGTTGGTATCCGCTGTTTATAGGTTGAAGCATCTAAGGTTCAGAACTAGTTTTCTGATTCCTGAAGTTGGGAGCTGCCCATGGAAATCACTAGAGAAATTCAGAATGTTAGGCTAGCTGTGAAGATTAACAACATCCTACATTTCTTATACTGGACTTCATTAAAAAAAAAAAAAGTTTGCCCTATTCAGTTCGTATTCTGTGTGGATGAAAACAAGCTGTATGTTTTTAATGTTTGTTTTGAGTCAGATCATATTTCATTAAGAAAGCCCCATTTATTAAAACTTGTCAAAACCCACATTCCTAAAATGAAAACAAATTGAAGGCAATGAAAGCAAATAAGATTATTGAGAATAATAATAATAGTAATGTGTTTATTATTAAGATATGGATCTGAAGTCTGAAATCTCACTTCTCAGGATAAAATCAAAGTAATGCTGAAAAGGCTATTGTTTTATGGCAAGGACAAACTAAGGGGATTGACTCACAGTACAGTAGAAATGCAAATCAAGATCCATTCAGTTCAAGGCAGATCCTGGTTCCAAAGAGAGATGAGATGATGAAATTTTAGGTACTCCCTTTAAAGTTTGTTCTTTTACCACAGTGTTTCTCAACCTTGGCGCCTTTAAGATATGTGGACTTCAACTCCCAGAATTCCCCAGCCACCACAGGAGTTGAAGTCCACATATCTTAAAGGTGGAAGGTTGAGAAATAATATTATAAGGTAAAAAGTTATAGCTTAGCTTGTGATGGCACTGCTGGTGTTTGGGATGCCCATCTAATAATGGAAAGTCACAGGATGCCCAGTCCCCATGGAGTATTCCTGGCTCACTTTGGATCAAGTTGCACCCAGGCTTGGCTTAGCAGTAGATGATTGATTTAAGTGGCTCTGGAATGAGTGGTTATATCCGTTACAGTAGCATAAATAGGACAATTGCTACTGAACAGCAGTAAAATAGTCAGATTTTCTGCATCTGAGGTAAGCCATAAGATTTACAAGGAAAATTATGTGACAGATTGTAACAATTAGGCACTGAATACTTAATACGAAAGCACCCTTGAAGGTTGATTAGAGACCTAGTTTTTCTGTCACCTGCTCAGCATTTCTAACCATTTCTTCCCCTCTAAGTAGATCCCACACTATTCTTTGCCAATATCCATATTTTTCTGGCATCCATTTTACCCATACCTCTCAAATTTATCAGGACGTAATTCCTAAATACATATAACTATTCAACTCAATATGCCATATTTTTTAAAGATTAGTCTCCTCCATATATAGGGCAGCCAGGTATGTTTTGAGCTGGATTTGAAATCTTACTAGGCAAGTCCCTGTAGTTCCAATAGAAGAGAATATCAGTAGCTCAGGGTTGAACTGCGGAGTTCTCAGTGCTCTCTGAGCTTGGTTGTTTGCTTGCAGATATTTCATTACTAGGTCATCAGCACAAGTTGACTTTATTTTCTGCCTTTCATTTAGGAGCTCAAGGAAGTTTATTATAGTTCTCCCTTCTTCCATTATTCCCCATAGCAGTCACCTGTGAGGTAGGTTGGACTGAGGAATGACTGGCCCAAAGCCACCCAATGAATTTCCATAAATTAAGGTCAACTTGCATTTTCTCAGACTTCCTAGGGTCAGTCTAGCACCTGATCATTTAGCTAGCTATGGTGATCGGTTGGGCCCCTTGAATATGGGATGCTCTAGACTTGGCCTTGGATCCAGCACTAGGTGAACAATTTCACCACCCTCCACCATGAACTATATATGAAATTTAACCTAGAAGAATTGTAAGTGGATGGAAGAACCAGGTGAATGAAAATGCCTTTGCTGTGAATTACCTGCATGTGGATAAGCCTTTTATGAATATGGTTGCCAGCATTTCATTGGAAACAATAGCCTGTAGGAAGTAGGGAAGATTACCTTGATGGAAATATGCAAACTCTGTTGCCAAGGTGACAAGGGGTAAAACATGTTTTGAGTCCAGAATGTCCAGTTAATGTTCAGAAGCTGCTCAGGCAGATACCTCCCTAGTTCACTGAACCATAAGAAGGGGTGCAACACAATCAGACTTGCAAGATTCTGTTATTAAAGCCAATATCAGTAACAGTAGTTTTAGTCTTCCCATGGGGTTGATTTCTGCTGTGGTCTACCTGGTGGGGCTGACATGGCCATGTTCAGTTTTGTTTTAAGATAACAGTTTTTAATGAATAAAACATTTTCCCCAAACTTGCTGCTCATGAATCAGCTTCATTCACATGAATGCATATGACAGAGAGAGGGCTTAGAGCAGGAAGAGAAGAGGGATCATCTTCATTAATTTTCTGAATATTGCTTTTTAATCTAATCCTTTTGGTTCAATCAAGTCTGTTCAGGATTCTCAACCAAACTTTCTGTGGACGATATGTCTTCAAAGAGAGGCAACATGTGACAAAAAACATTTTATAGACTGGTACTTCTTTCTTCAGCTGCAGAATTACAACCAGAACAATAAAAAGTGCTCAGAAGTACAAAGTAATCTTTGCTGAAAACACATTATTGTTTAATTTAGGTTTTTCTAATGTGCTCTTACTGGATTTCTTTCTTTTTCATTTTGCATAGCTTCAATTATGTTGGTGATTTTCCATGTATTTCACTTTGAATATAAATTAATTAGTGGGAAACAATTGAAAGCCTGAAAATAGTCGTCCAGGCACATTAAAGAAAATTGTTCGTATTGATTACTTTATGGAATGGAATGAGAATCTACTGTTTTGTTCTGACACTGCACTGCTATTTCATCCTTGATTTCAATTTGCACTGCTGTAATGTCAAGGGAACACGCTGTACCCCATAATGCATATGCACATATTTTGTACTGTTCTAAAGTTACAATATGATTGCACAGATTTGAAAATAGTTTCTTAGTCAAACCCACAACAGCAACATGTTAATCATATCCAATTATATCTAAAGCAAAACATAAAAACAAAGCACAGCTTTTATAGTGAACTGTTGTTTTAAAACATTTGTTTTGCAATCCATTTATATCTATTTCACAGTAAACTTCACTAGCAGTTTCTCCTTAAGCTATGATGTGATTTGGTTTACTGTGATGAATGAAATGTGAGGGTGTTAGTAAATAAACCATAATTTGTTTCAGACCAGTAAATGTCATAAGAACAAATCTGGCCAAGGCCCGTGTTAGTCCAATATTTTGTTTCTCACTAGCCAAATAGATATCTGTACGGTGCTCACAAACAGGAGATGGAGACATATCCCACTCCCATTATTGTTTCCCTCCAACTCGGTATTTGGATGTAAATTGAGCTTTCAAGACCAATAAGAGATTCCAGCTATGATGCAATTGATTTGGCCAAATTGCAGGATATTAACTGGTCTAAGTCAGAACTGATGCTTATGGGTAAAGACTTGTTTATGCATACATGAAGTAATTATCATTTCCATATATATGTACTTGATTGATTTATTAAGGAAATTTATATGGCTGTCCATCTTAAGAAAATAATTCTGGCTGGCTAAGAATGCAAATCAATAAAAAACCAAAAGTATACTTAAAAATAGACATAATACATATGGAATACAAAATAGAAAAGCCGAGGCATCTCACACATTTTCCTCAATGGCAACTCACCAATATCAGGCTCCACTAACAGCTGGTCCTAATGCCTGTGGGAAAAGCCAGGTTTTCACAGCCTTGTGGAAAGCCAACTGGGTTGAGACTGCCCAGGTCTCTTAGGGGAGGCTGTTCCACAGGTAGGCACCACAACATTATTTACCCCAAGCCATATTTCTCAAATAATTGCACTGAATATGAATATGATGTATAAAGACATTGATAGATGGGAGCCTTTGGAATAAGACAAGCATTCTTAAAATGTATGTAATTTCCAGGATACTTTATATTTTCTGTGGAATTCATATCTATCTATCTATCTTCAGAAAATATTTTCAAAAACACAATACAGTGTTTATAAATGTTGATGGAGTTCTTCAATTACCCCAACAATATCTTTGGAAAAGATGCAATTGTCAGTTAATGTCCAGGGGGGAGTGTGTTTGAATCTTAAATTAAAGATTGGTATAATGGTGGGGGAGGAGGTGTGGAGGAGATCAAAAAAGGATAGGATCAGAGCCGTTTCAACTTAGGCCCACACATCCATCAATTCCATACACTCTGCTCCTCTCTTCTCCTCTCCAGTCTTTCTTTTCATGTCTCTGATATCTATTTTTACCTTTTGCTCTATCCTTATTGTATGTACTCCCACAAGTGCAGAAGTTAGGGTTATTTTTAAAAAAGTTCAGGCTGATGCCAAGTATGAGATCTAGCTGTAAGAGAAAAAACAAGCATACAACTTCAGACTAGAAGCTGAAGTCCACAACCTTTTGGGATCAGTGAGCTTGCCTGAACTTGTTATAGCATTGCAAGATTGCTCACACATGATGACTGCCATTTTGTGGATAGCTAATCTCAAAGCACTCACTTACCCGAAGGCAGGCAGACGTGGGGATGCTGCCTACTGCCCTTCAGTTTACTTTTGTGGGGCAGTTCTAGTTCCAAATAAATAACTGAACTGCAGTCCTCATTTTGAATGTTTTAGAATGCCTGTGGGGCACATATGGATGCCAGATTCATTATAAGCAATATGGATGTTGTTCCTTTGCTCTATAATCAGCTTCCCATTTAATGTATTAAATTAATTTTTAAAAAGCTGGGTTGGGCAGGAAGCCTAGCAATTCCAGTGGAGGCTTCTAAATGCATGTTGATACCTCAGGGCATCATGTCAGAAGCTCGAGAACCAGGGCTTAATGTAACATTTTCTATGAAGATTTGAAAGCCAAACTCACACACATAAATTATGTAAAGTTGCTAAAATTATATTACATCTGTGTAATTACACTGGTTTGGGATCTGTCCACACCAGCATGGGTCGGGAAAGGGCCACATATACTTGCTTGGATAGTGTCCAAGTGACTATTTCTAAAACCAGTGTAATTACACAGATGCAGTGCAATTTTAGCAATCCTACATAATAAGTATTTTAGTTTGGACAAACCTAAGAAAACGTGCTATGAGGTTGCTCTA